AGGCCCGAAACGTCAGCCTCTCTGCTCCTATGATGCTGCTTGGCCTGCTGTGTTCATCAGCCCTGCACCTTGTTGTCTCGGATTCTCCAGCATCTGCAGTTCCTACTATCTCTGATTCAATATTCTTAAATCCTGCTGATTATATAGATTACATTCTGAAAATGTTTTTTTTATTAGATATGGCACTAATTACTTATAACGCAACTTATGATGAGAGTGAAGGTTGTATCTTTTTCCATTTCTCCTGCTCTGTCTGTCTCCCTCCCTCTTTCTCACAGCATGTATACAGTGCAGACATTACCTAAACTATTTAATTTGAGCCCACCCTTAGAAATGAGATGCAACTGGGCAAGTTTTCAAAAGTGCATCAGACACAGTCCATACATTAAGCAACAGTTTGTGGACAGACAGCACCCAGAATATTGATGTACTCGACAAGAGTATTTGCAAACTTCCAACATGTGCTGTGTTGGCGCTGTTGTCATTAACACTAGTGTGTGCAGTCAAGCCCCTTAGTGACTGGTGAGAGGAGATGGAGCATCAAAGGAGCCAACTTGGCCTCTTCACAGGCTTTCTTGACATCCTGAATTTTTTTTAAAAAAAATAGAGCTGTGGCGATATTTAATCAGGACACAGAATTGTCACTGTATTCTCCTGAAATGTTGGCTTACTCAAGGACCTGTAATCATCTCAATCCGACTTAGAACTCTCTCGGGCAAGGTCAAGAGATGGAGTAGAGTGTTTTATTAAATTATTTGCATCTGAAAATCTCTGAAGTCATGGCATCATCAGCTGTCCTTTAATTTGAGGATGACCTCCACTCAGGATCATGCGTATTCCTGTGACTGAACAGGATTCTTTTGCATACTGGAGTAATCCTGCACCTTTTGTGTTGTTGACCTCGCCACATTGGCACATCAAGATGATATACATAGTTCAAAGTAATTCAGTAGTCCACTTTCATCTTTTGCTGCCTAGCATTTCACTTTTTTTTTGTCTCAGGTGGACAGTGGATTGTAAGCCTGCTGAGTTGTCCTTGGGAAGCGCGTTTGGGTGGAGGAAAATAAAGATTTGCTGGTCAGTCATTTTATACCAAGCTGGCTCACAAACCTCGAGACAGTCTTGGAAAATTTCAACGTGACATAATGGATCTGATATTGTCAGTAGCCTTGAGAAAGGAAGCATTACCTGACTTGCAGAGGCAACAATAACACTGGCATCTTGCATTTATATAACACTTATTAATGTAGTAAAATATCCTCAAGTGCTTCCCAGGAACATAACTGGGAAATATTTGGCAGCAAGCCAAAGACTGACCACTTGGCAGAATTGAGAGGTTTTAACCAGCTTCTTCAAGCAGGAGAGAGAGAGTTAAAGAGGTTTTGCAGGGAGAATATGTAAAATTTAGATCTAAACTGTTCGATACATAACCAGAAGTGACAGGGTGAAGGAAATGAGAGATGCACAAGAGGCCAGAGCTGGAAGGGAATAGTCATCGGGAAGCTAAAGGGGATATCAGGGACTGACTGGGAAAATTGTTACAGAGGAAAATTAATTCAGGAATTTTAAAGTGGAAGCAGTGACAATTAGAAGCATCTGTAGGTCAATAAACACAGGGATGACAGACAATTGGGATTGATGCAAGCTAGGATATAAGCAGCAGCGTGTCATGAGTTTATGAGTTGAAGAAAGTTTGTTGATAATAGGCAAGATGGGGGGTGGGCGGGGTAACGAATGCATGGATCCAGTGGCTTTGAGAGAGTGCTGCTACATTTGGCGAGGGTGCCATTTTGTCATTAGAGTAAAATATGGACAGCCTGGATGAAGATGCCGTTATTTTGATGTCTGTAGTCCTCAATTTGGCTCAGTGAGTAGGTAGAAAACCAAAAGCTATCCCTTCCAATCCTTGGGACATTCTGATTAATATTTTCAATAAGGCCTGTGACAGGGCAGATTAGAGTTGGTTGCAAACAAGGTCAGGGCTAAAACCCACTTTCATCCCACTCCTCTTTATTTCTATAATCTCCTTCTGTCTTACAATCCTGCAAGATCGCTGCCACCTCCAGTCCATCACTTCTGTAGTTCTAATTTTAATCACGCCACATTGCTGACATGTGATCCAAGGCTAAGACCCTAAAGTGATCCTTTCCCAGAACTTTCTCTTGCTCCGCCTCTCTCTCCTCCTCTGAGTAGCGTGGCAATCCTTGTCTATTTGACATCCATCTTAGGTTTGTTTAGACCCGCTGTAGAGAGGAACCCTAACATTTCCTGGGTTAGCCGAAATGAAAAGGAGGAAAAAAATGTCCATCTGCAGTTTGGCTTATTGAAAACGTCAGTTGGTCGGATGGTGACCTAATGATTTAGAAGGGTCACTGGTTTTAACGTTTCTGTGTCTGGAGGAATGTGTTTGTATTTGTGTCGAGTGCTGTAACTCGGCAGTAATGGACTTAACTGCCATCTGAAAGGCAGGAGTCTGTTTTAAAACAGACCTCAACATTAAATGCGAAAATGTGGACTATTTGTCAGCTAAACAGTATGCTTGATCACAGAATTGTGTTGTCTAATGCCATACGGTTGACTATATGATTTAAAGGTGGCGACAGCCCGAGCGAGGTCAAAGTTCATTAAAACCTAAGAGATAAGGCTCTTTCTAGGAAAACAAGCAATTCCTAATGAGCTAATTGATCAATCCGACTGTGGAGGATGACACGTTTGTAATATTTTTCATAACCAAACTGATCATTGCTGGAGACTGGACAAGGTTAAGAATTGAATGCACAACCTTATCTGTTTGGAAAGAGCATAAAGCAAGCTTGTCTTGTGGTTAGCTCATCTGGGTAAGTGTTGAGACAGAGTGGGCTGTTTTGGTGTGATCTTTGGACAAGTCCACGGTTCACTTCTAATTGCAAACGTTGCATGGGTAGGATTAATTCTTAGTTTTTGTAATGTACTTTGCTTGAATGAAAGTAATTGGGTATGTTCTATTATTAGAACTGCCTGGGTTATTGATATCCACTGTAAACCTGATGGACCAGGGAAAGTAGAAATTGAAGCCTACAGTATAAAAGTACCTTGCAGCACGCTGTGGCATTAACATTGTGTTCAACATACATGTTGTTATGCAAATAAAGTTTAATGTGTGAAATTGAGGCAACCAGGAATGGCCAAGGAGCTGTCACTAGTCTGACTGCTGCGTGATTCTCTGCATGTATAGTTTGTGGGCTACCACTTCTGCCAAAGTGGCTAAATAGACCGTAGAGGTCTGCTTCTGTTCACAAACTTGGCTATGTCTCAGAGCGGAACTGAACTCCAGCTGAAGGCACAGCTGGTTTAAGTCTGACTAGCAAATGCAGCAGCAGTAATCCACAGCTGCCAAGTCTTGTGCATCGACCCACACTTCAAAGATGGATCATGTAGCTGCACTGCTTAACTGCACAAAAGCTAATGTTTTGGATTGTTGTGTTTTGACCCAGGTTTACCTTGTGGGCCGTGGATAACACTGGAAGACGTTCCAGACCCAGCGCAGTTACTGTTAAAGTACCTTGTCCACTCGTGGATGATGTCAAGGCTAAAGGTGTGTTTTCAATTCAATCAGTTCTTGGCTTCTAGGTTGGGTTTCAAGATCCCAGGTAAACCACGATCCATTCACTGTGCAGTGTATGTATTTACTGTCCGTAACTGAGTCTTGGATTAAGGTCAGCCTTATTGCGTGACAGTCCTCACCGCTGACCTAATAAGAGCTTAAAGAAACAGGCCATTCAGCCCTTCAAGCCTACTCCCCCATTTTATAAGGTCATGGCTGTTCTGCCTGTGGTTCGCAAATTCACTTTTCATGTCTGCACCTATGCCCTTCCCCATTTCCTTAACCTTTGATTCCCTTATAGTTCAAAAGATTTTTTTTTACTCGCAGGATGAGGATTTTGCTGGCACTTATTTCCCATCCCTAATTACCCAGAGGGCAATTAAGAGTCGATCATTGCTGTGTGCTCACGTGTAGGCCAGACCAGCTAAGGATGGCAGTTTCCTTCCCTAAAGGACATTAGTGAACCAGATGGGTTTTTCCTGACAATCGATTCGTGGCCTTCATTCGATTCTTAACTCCAGATTTTTATTGAATTCAAATTCCAACATCTGCCAGATGGGATTTGAACCCTGGATCTCTGGATTAATAGTCCAGCAATAATACCACAAGGCCATTCCCCTCTGACGAGCTCAGACTTTACAAATCAGGCCAGCAACCTGCACAACTCCTGAGGGTAGAGTTGAAACACTAATGATCTTTTGAGAGATGAAATGGGGGAGATGATCGCCTAGTCGTATTATCGCTGGTCTGTTAATCCAGAGACCCAGATAACGTTCTGGGGACCCCTGTTCGAATCCCGCCACAGCACATGGTGGAACTTGAATTTGATAAATATCTGAAATTAAGAATCTAATGATGACCGTGAATCAATTGTCGATTGTCGGAAAAACCATCTGGTTCACTAACGTCCTTCAGGGAAGGAAACTGTCATCCTTACCTGATCTGGCCTACATGTGACTTCAGACCCACAGCAATATGGTTTACTCTTAACTGCCCTCTGGGCAATTAGGGATGGGCAATAAATGCTGCCTAGCCAGCGATGCCCTCATCCCGTGAATGAATAAAGATAAAACAAATTGCTCATCATCCACATCTTCAAAGAGAGACTCCTTATTTTGAAGCTGTGCCTCCTGGTTTTGGATTCCCCCACAAGGGGAAACATCCTCTCAGCACCTCTCAGACCTTAAAGAAAGCTACCCACAGGGATCCTACAGAGCCAACAACAGGGATATCATCAACAAGCTCAGTAGACAATCGCGTTAAAATATTCTCACTGACAGAAAACCAGATGGTAAAATGCACCAATTATTCTTCACTTGTAAATGATTGAGAACACATGAACAGGAGGAGGCTATTCAGGCCCTCCCATCTATTTTGCTGTTCAGTGAGATCATGGCTGATTCGTGACCTAGCTCCATTTATCTGTTTTGATACCAAAAAAAATGAATCTCCTATTTAAATCTCATAATTAAATTTTATACTCTATCAAACATCACATTGTCACTTGCAGAAGATAATTGCAAACTTTTTCTACCCTTTAACTTATAGAAACAATTTCAATTTCTCTCCTGATTTGTAATTTTTTAAAACTGCAGTTCTAATTTTGAGTCTATGCTCCCAGGACCAACGCTCCCCAACCATTGAAAATCGTTTCTGTGTATCTACTCTAACTGCTGTCCATAATGTGTTGAAAACGTTGATTAAATCACTACTGATTGTTCTCAGTACCACAGAGTATTGTGCAAACACTCCATGTAATTGAAGCCTTGACATGCTGGGGACAGAATGTCATGTGGAATATGGGACTCAACTCATTGCAATCCTCTCTCTGTCTTGAGACAGAAATGCTGTAAACATTGGAGTCAGAATGTAGTGAGTGAGTGCTGAGTGAATGGGCGAGATGCACCCTGCTCTAAAGCATGAGTTGGTTACCTGCCCCTGTGTGCAGCATTACAAAGGGAGGAACCAGTCCACTCCAAAGTGCAGCATAGAAGCGTAGAGCCATACTGTAAATGCCTTGGAGATATGGCTGGTCTGTTTCGGATGCCAAGATCTGTGGATGGGGTGTGTGTGCCCATAGGTTGTGCCCTGAGATGTTGGCACTTGCTGTCCAAGATGGAGGTCTCAAAGATTAAAGTGGAGCTGCCAGGTACCCAGTCTGAATTTCATGTTGGGAATTCCCATTGTCTAGATTCCATTGGGTGGATGGGAGAATGGGAAATTAAATATTAATGAAGTGAGATTGGGTAATAATGAGAAGTTAATGTGTGCTAATAAACCTCTCAGTGCCCATTAGTGAGAACCTCATCTCACCACTCAATACTCGGTTAGAAAATGGGGTTTTTCACTCTCTGCATCGAGGAGCTCCTCGTTGGCCATCTCATACATCTTTCTCTTCCTTCTCGCCTTTGTGCCAGAACTTTAGGGGCTGCAAAGATTCCTCCGTTTACTTTCCATCCTTTCATTGAAAATATAAATCGAGGCACATGAGTTGTCATGTCTTGCCATCCTGAAAAAGACCCAGTTACACTTACTCTCCGCTTCCTGTTAACCCGCGAATCTTGTAAGATCTACAATATTGGCAATAATAAAAAAAAAACTGGCCTCTTGATTTTAATTTCTCCATAACTCATTGCGATACATTTACACTTGAAGAAAATGAAGTTTACAATGAATGGCAGGACCCTTAAGAGTCTTGGGGTACAAGTCCATGGCATTGTGAAGGTGGTGATACAAATTGATAGGGTGGTAAAGAAGGTGTACAGCATGCTTACCTTCAACGGTTGGGCATTGAGTATAAAAGCTGGCAAGTCGCGTTGTAGCTGTATAAAACTGTTGAGCCATATTTGGAGTATTATGTGTAGTTCTGGTCACCACACTGTGTGTGGAGGCCTTGGAGAGGGTCCAGAAGAAGATATTGCCTGGATTGGAGTATATTAGCTATAAGAAGGGTTGGACAAACTTGGATGCTTTTCACTAGCGCATTGAAGGCTGAGGCAGAGCTGATAGAGGTATATACAGTTATGAGGGCATGGATAGGGTGCATAGTCAGAGTCTTTTTCCCCAGGCTAGAAATGTCAATTGGTGCAGGGTAAAGATTAAAAGTGAGGGGGTAAAAGTTTAAATGAGATGTGCGAGCCACATTTTTTATGCAGAGGATGGTACGTGCCTGGAAATGTGCTGCCAGGGGAAGTGGTAGAAGTGGATACAATAACAAAATGTAAGAGACATTTAGACAGACCCATGAGCAGGCAGGGAAAAGGGGGATATGGACCATGTGCAGGCAGATAGGATTAGTTAAGAATGGCATCATGATCGACACAGACATGGTGGGCAGAAGGGTCTGTACCTCTTCTATACTGTTCTAAGTTCTATAGGGATTCAGTGCTGTAACCTTCAGGACCACGAACAAGAGCTTGAATGTGAGTTTTGTTGAGTGATAATTCTTCAGCCAACACAGACTGAATGGTCTCCATCTGGGTTGCATGTTTTCTAGGTGTTTCTGTGTATGCTTTCATCTGAGAAGATTCTGAGCTCTGCTATTCCCTCCCCAATGCTCTCTGCCTCTTGATTTCTCTTTCTTCTTGAAGCCACTCCTGGAAAAGCATGAGGGGAAGAGAGAAGGATTATGAGAGTCACATTGCTAGAGTTAGATAAGGAAAGATGGAGGAATAAACACCATCATGGACTGATTGGGCCAAGTGGCCTATTTCTATGCTGTAGACTCTATTTAATTGCATGTAGTCACCATTTGTATCTGATGTACTGTGACACTGTCCACTTCTCTTAATTATTGGTGTCCTATATTGTAGTTGAAGATATTTACCACCAGTTACACTTTTATCCCCCCAAAGATCACAACTTACCCCTTTTAATAAGGACGACTGGGGGATAGAACATAGAATCCCTGCAGTGTGCAAACAGGCCCTTCGGCCCAACAAGTCCACACTGACCCTCAGAGCATCCCACTCAGACCTATCCCCCTATAACCCACCTAATCTACACATCCCGGAACACTATGGGCAACTCAGCATGGCCAATCCACCTAGCCTGCATATCTTTGGACTGTGGGAGGAAACCGGAGCGCACGGAGGAAACCCACGCAGACACGGGGAGAACGTGCAAACTCCACACAGACAGTCGCCCGCGGGTGGATTTGAACCTGGTTCCCTGGCACTGTGAGGCAGCAGTGCCAACCACTGAGCCACTGTGCTGCCCCAAATATAAATAAGGATATAAAATAAGGAACCTGTAAGTATGTTGTCTGTGAGAATGTATTATGTGTTGCTGCACAGCTTGACTCTTTTTGAAGAGTGCAGTGTATATATCCTTAACCCAGCAAAGATTGTGCTTTACAGAACTGATTTCAATTGTATATGATGGGTATCCGAAGAAGAAAACAGCAATAGAATGATGAAATGCTCACTTCCCCCTTCACTCTGATAGCTGGAATAATAAAGATGCCACTCACTTTCTCACTAAACATGGACTTCAAAGGAAAGTTTGCTGGCTGTAACATCTGTCTGGCCTAGCTGACCCCCTGGGCCAGCTCCAAAAATTTAAACATACCACTCTTCTGCTGCGGTTTGCAAAATTCCAGTCTTGAATATATGTGTGTGTTGATGGCTCTTTCTTGACATCCTACCTCGGAACTTGGAGTCTGAATATGGTGATAGGTTTCCAAGAATTCCAGATTCCCTCTGAATAAAAGAAATCCATTGACTGATCTCAGGCGATGCAGTCACTACTTTACACGCCCAGTTGGGCCCTGCCTCCAGACTTCACACTTTCTTTGGCATCACTCAATCAGTCATTACCTCTCTTGCTGGAGTGGAACACTTTGCACAGCCTCTCTACTATATGCAAGCTCACTGTTCCTCCAGCAGTTGATCAGGTGTCATGATATCTACCACTTGGTGAATAATACTCTTGCCATTGAATCAGATAGTTGTATGTTCAAGTCCCACTCCAGACACCTTCATACAAACTCTACGTTGCCACTCTAGCATCGTACTGAAGGAGTGCTGCGCTCAGGAAGGTACATTACCCAGATGAAGCATTAAACTGAAGCCCCATCTGCCCTTTCAGGTGGACATAGAAGACCTAATGATGCCTTTTGAAGAACTTGGTATTATTCTCGGTGTCCTGCCTGATATTTATCCCTCAACTCAGAACAGTAGCGGATTATCTAATTGCTATCACATTGTTGTTTGAGGAGCTTGCTTTTGGCAAATTGCCTGCCGTGTTTCCCAAATTACAAATTCATTGACTAAAACATTGTGGATATCCTGAGGCTGTGGAAAGCGTTATATACAACAGATCATTAACGGGTTGCTTATTTGGGACCTGGTATGCACAGATTGGCTGCTACATTTCCTACCTTCTAACAGTGACCGCTGTTCAAAAATACTCTAATGGTTGTCTCTCAATTTTGGACATCTTCAAAAATGCTGTGTAATAACAAGCTTATTTTTCTTGTTATAGATGCAAGCCCTCCCTCCCTTTCTTCTTCCCTGCCTCTGATCCTTCCTTCCTTTCCCTACTTCCTCCCTCTTTTCTTTCTTCCTTCCTCACTCTTTCTTTCCTTCCCATCTTCCCTCTCTCCCTCTTCTCTTCTTCCTTCCTCTCTTACTTCCTCCCTGTTCTCTTGTTTTTTTCCTTCTTCACACCCTCCTTCCCTCCCTCTTATCTTCATCCTTCCTCAGTCCATCATTTCCCCCTCCCTCCCTCAGCCCAGCTTTTTGTCTGTAGCAGTTTAGTGTCTTTCCATGCTCTCTTGCCCATATCATCCTTGAGTTCATAACTAACCCTCATCACTGTCTTCAACTTTGCTAAGCTTCATCCCGTTTGCAAAATTTTTAAATTTATCCCTGCGCCCAAGGAACAATACATTCACAAAATTACAACAATAAGTCATTCAGGTTCTTCCTTTTCTTTAGTCTTTTGACACATCAATGTTCTGCTGATTTTCTTTTTCCCACGAACTGACTCTAACGTTACTCCACTCCTCATACTCTTCAACATATCCTTTTTCAACAAAATTTCTGAGGCATCTTCACAAGGGTGCAATATCTGAACTCTGCATTCTGCAGTTTACATACAGGTAGGTTTGCTGATACTGCATGGGAAGTTCAGCACAGTCAAGTTTTAAGGACGGAATACTAACTTCCTATAAATAAAGAAATGGAATGAAAGCCACTTGCCATTTGATCATTAAAACATTATGTAGTTAAAATACTCTCATCGCTATCGTGACACCATGGAGCAATGCTTGTCTTTGTCTATGTTGGATAACTTGGAGTAAATAAGTGCAAACACACCACACGATCACCTTGACCTTTCTACAAGAAACATGATGACCAATATGTGTATGCTTTTGATGAATCACTGCTTATGAGGCCCATGATAGTCCACATGGTTTGGTTTGAGCAAATGTTTCAGACAGATTTGACAGCTTATAGATTGGACCAGTTATTACAGAGCACTGGCCAAAATCGATGGCAGCAAACTGCGCTGGGAATGTAGAGGCAGAAGCAGACCAGTCAGCTCCCTGTGTTTGTTTTACTGTTTAATTAGAGCATCGCTGATCTGTATTCAGCTTCCCTAACCCAGTTCTGTTCTTTATTCCTAAAAAAAAAACTCTGTCGATCTCCCTTTTGAAATTTTAAATGGAAGTGAGTGGACAGGGTTGGGAACCTGCCCACAGATCCAGTGCCTGCCTCACAGCAATTCCATGCTAGAAAGTGAGGGAGCAGAGCTCTCCCTTCAGAAGAAAGTCCCACCGTACAGTGTCTAGCTCTAGCAGCACCAATGGGCAGAGGTGACCACGGCATCCCACCAAGCTGAGGAGCCAAAGGCACATCCCAGGACTGGGAATCTCAGCCTGCATTGGAGAGGAAGGGTCATGGGAGGGAAGGAGGGGAGGATGGGGGCAGGGAAGGGCCAAGTTCTGAAGTCCAATATACTTTTTTATTTGAGGGGAGTGTGGTTTCCCTCCAATGGACTTGCGTCTAGCAAAGGAGATCTACCACCCCGCAATGATCACTTGTCCAAATTATTTTGTGGAGTGGGCCCCCACCACTATGGGTACAATACTGGTACAAGCACAGGGATGGCCTTAAGTGACCATTATTTCGATACTCGAGGGGCTCCGTGGGCAGGCAATCTCCACCCCCCCCACCAAAGAACTTCAGTCAGGACTGGAGGGCAGATGGTAGGAGGGCTGCCTCCACTTGACTTCGCAGCCACCAACCCCCCTCCCAAAACCCTCATGTCCATTAATTCAGCATATCAGTCACCACCAAAATGGAGTGAGGCATTCAACTCATCTGTTGGCCTTTTGAATGGATTCTGATCTGAGACTGGTGTCCTCTGGTTTCCCTAGAAATTGCTGACAAAATCTACAACCTGTTCAACGGCTACACGAGCGGAAAGGAGCAACAGACCGCGTACAATACCCTGATGGATCTGGGCCCATCTACCCTGCACCGAGTGTACTACCATTACAACCAGGACTACGAGCACTTTGGAGAATTCACGTGGCGCTGTGAGGACGAATTGGGCCCCAGGTATGTGTAAGCTGGGTGTCAGTCATGGCATGCTCTCTCTCTTCCCCCAAGCTTATTCCTTCACTCATTTCTGAAGGGAAAGTAACGTGAGCAGTGATGATCCAGTCCATGTGAGAGAGAGAGACAGAGGAAACACTGTTGATGTTAAATGGGAATCATGAGCTTCACAATCATCTTCGCCTATCAAGCAGCAGGACCCAAGGTCCTTTTCGGCTAGGGCTTGGGGAGGGAAAACTAGTTGGTAGAGAATTGGATCAGGCTAACGAAATGATTGGCTTGCATGGAGAGCGATCCCTCGCGTACGAATGAAATGGCCGCGGTCATGTGTTTTTCATAAACATCAAGAGTAGACTCTTCAAACAGGGACACAAGGTAATTAAACACACAGATTGCATTGGAGGAAGAGCAATTAATTCTAACCAGGCCTGAATGAAGCACATGATGTATAAGGCTTAGACTTAACTGTATTGACTGCCCAGTGAGTGTGCTTGCCCTGTTTCTATGTCATTTTAGACTGCTTTTGATGTCATTCTGCGTAGTTAGAATTGTGAGAAATGAAGTCAATGAAACATGGAAATGGTGTGTAACGTAAATCAGTCTGTCAGCTCGTTGTTGCCAATTTTGCACTGACACAAAGAGCAATTTCCCTCCTGTCTGTAGTCTTTACCAATGACACAGGTCAGTTAGAAGGAGATGGCAATGAGAGATTGGATTATTGACCCAGTAGAATGGAGAAACCCTGGATCAAATGTAAGTTCCTACCTCCAATTCCCTAAGATTTGACATCCAGTATTTATGGTGAAGTGCCAGAAATAATTCCACGGAAACCGTGGAGGCACAATTGGAGTGGGATGGAGGCAAATGGGCAGGGATTATCCACTTCTTTGCAGCTTGGCTTTTTTTTTTGTCAAAGGTTGCTCGCTTTTAGATTGGTACATACCAGAGGAAAGTTTACTTTTAGATTGGTACATACCAGAGGAAAGTTTACTTTTAGATTGGTACATACCAGAGGAAAGAGAGCAAAGTCATTTCCAAGGAAAACTTTGTTAATTGCTGTATAACATCCCCATCGTGGGTATCAGTACAAGCGGTTTTGAACATGGAGCTTTGGAAAGCATGTTGTAAAAATTCCAGATTAATTATTCGTACCCATATGGAAAAATCAGGAATTTCTTGAACTGCTGTCATCTTTGATTATATTTTACAAGCATCACTGTTTCTGGAAAAATTCTGTACTTACTGAGAACAGTGTGTAACTTGGGGCCCTGTTAGATTTTCTCAGAAATTGAGTGTCCTTTTTAATCCATGACTGCTAACAATTTCAAAGAATTCCTTGGGCAGACTTTTGTTTTTAAATTTCGCATTGCGCATTAGAGTTTTGAAAGAAAAAGTCATTAGGTCAATTAACTATATGGAATGACTTTATTATTTGTGACCGTGACTCTCCACCACGAAGTACGCTTGGCTAAATGCATTTAATCATTAACTGGGCTTTGTCAGTGATTAATTCATCCCCCGGTACCTGAATGTCCTCTCTTGGAATCTCTTTGGTGATGTGGCAATACTATGGCTTTAAGAAGTGTATTTTGTTGTTTTTCTCTAATGAAGAGAGGTTGAGATCAGACATGCTGATTGGTCTGCTTCAAAGCCCATAAAGTAAGCAGCTGAGTATTGGTGAATGTGGGTGATTTTAATCTGCACATAGATTGGGCAAATCAAATTAGCCACAATGCCTTAGAGCAGGATTTCCTGGAATGTATACAGGATGGTTTTCTTGACCAATATGTGGAGGAACCAACTAGAGAGCAGGCCATATTAGACTGGGTACTGTGTAATGAGAAGGGAACCATTGCCAATCTAGCTGTGTGAGACCCCTTGGGGAACAGCATGACAGAACATGACAGAATTTCTTTATCAAGATGGAGAGTGAGATGGTTGATTCATAGACTAGGGTGCTGAACCTTAATAAAGGAAACTACGAGAATATGAGGCGTGAGTTGTGGAGGTCTTGGTGCTGCTGGTCAGATCTACCTTTGGCCTGAGAATTGGAGAAAGCCGTTGTGGAATGCATCCTTTGTCAACTAATTCCTGCTGTCATTTTCAAAAGGCCTAGCCCCATGAGTTTCTACGACACATTGGCTTCTCCAAAATGAACTTTACAATAAATTTTCTACAGGCCAAGTTCAATCAGGCAATAGGCAGATGTTGGTCAAAACATTGTCTTCAATAGTGAGGTTAAACAGTCTCAGGATTCCTTTCTGACAGGGCTGGGATGCTGTCGTGTAACCTGGAGATTTGATCATGTGACAACAGTTGCTATTTTCAGACGTCATAGAACTCTTCCTGCATATCACTAAAGAAGTGGAAAAGGAAACTCACAAATTGTGAAAATGCAAAGATCGAAACCACCCCAGGGCAAGCAAACTTATTTTTTTTTGAGCAAAACGTTAACAAGTTGCCAAATCCTGTTTAGGAATCCAGACTTGTTTGCATCTCTTTCATCATGAAAATAATTCCATTAGAAAGTTGCAGCTTCAAGTCTCAGACCGGGACTCAATCTTGGCTGATATTCTAACACAGGACTCAGATGTGTTATCCTTTGGGAGGGTGAGTCAAGCCAAACCCCCCAGTTTGCCCATTTAGATGGCTATGAAGGACACCATGGAGTGGCCTTCTGAAAAAATTCACCACCAAAAATACTCATTAACTGCTCATTCATCTGGCTATTGTTTGTAGCATGTTGGCACTTAGTGGATTCAGAAGAAGAGAGGAGACCTTATTGAAGAACATCAAACTTTGTTTTAATGGGCACCTTTTCAACGGGCACTCTTGATAAAAGTTATAAACCTCAAATACCTCGATCTGCAGCCATGTCGGAGTATTTATGCTGTCAATAAAGTATAACAGTGATGCATAACATTGCAATTTCATAGAATCCCTATAGTGTGGAAACAGGCCCTTCAGCCCAACAAGTCCACATCGACCCTTAGAGCATCCCACCCAGACTCATTACCCAAAACCCACCTAATCTATACATCCCTGAACACTACAGGCAATTTAGCATGGCCAATCCGCCTAGCCTGCACATCTTTGGACTGTGGGAGGATACCGGAGGAAACCCACACATACACGGGGAGAATGTGCAAACTCCACACAGACTGTCACCCAAGGCTGGAATTGAACCCTGGTCCCTGGCGTTGTGAGGCAGCAGTGCTAACCACTAAGCCACCGAGCTATTACTTGCGTTTTGATTTGAGGAGGAGTGTTGATTTTTTTTGAGGGACGTTGATGTCTTAAAGCTTCGCTTGGTCAGGATTTACTGTGATTATGCGTATGTCTTGATTGTCTGAAATATTTGATCAAGTGGCACATTCCTGGTCCCACAGGTGCCAGTTAATAAAATGCTTGCTGTATGTAACATTCTCGGGCTTAACAGGGTAGAAGTTCATTTGCTGAAACCATCATCTATGTTTTCCTTGCTTCCACATTTAACTATTCCAATATTCTCCTGTCCGACCTTTCATTGTCTGTAAATTGCAATCCTCAAAACCCTGCTGTCTATGTCTACATTGTAGTATCTAGGCTGACAATGCTGCAGTTTTAAAATTTGTTTGTATTTTTTAAAAATCCTTGTTTTTAAAATCCTTTCTGCACTTCACCTCTTCCTATCCCCTCCAGCAACCCTCTGAGATCTCAAAAAGTTGACCCGATGCATATCTCAGATTTTCATCATGTGCTATTAGGAGCAGTGTTTCAATTCCCAGTCCCTGAACACTGGAATTCCCTGCCTCCAAAACGTTGCCTCTGTCTCCTTCTTCAAGATGTTCCTCACAGCCTAACTCTTTGACCCAGCTTTTGGTCATCTTCTTAACGTGGCTCAAATCTTGTTTCACAACACTCCTGTGAAGTGCCTTAGGACATTTAATTAATGTACAGGTATAAATATACAGCCTGCAGCAGCAGTGCCAGTCTTTTTATTTATAAACTAATAAGGAAGAGTGAGTCCAATTTTGTGCAATCTGAAGTGCAACAAGTAAAATACAATCGATTTCCTGTTGTGTGTATGAAACATTGATGTTCTCCTGTGAGAGGGTATATTCACAGCCTTTGGTGAACATGTTCAGTGATTGCCCATCACAGTAAGCAAGTTGCAAAAATAATAGTTACTGTCTCTCAAGCCAGGTTTCACTGTAGGACCTCACTTGTTCATGTTACCATCATAACAATCGGTACAGCCTGTTCTTGTCCCAGAACTGGTGCCAGCCCTGCAGCCATGTGTTAATTATCCTGGTCTGTCTATTCCTCTGCATGTATCTCAGATACTGATCCAGATGTTATTACCCTCAAGGCCCTGCTTTTTAATTTTTTTCTTCAGCAGAACCTCCTTCCTGATCCTACGTATATTGATTGTTCCAATGTGGACCAGAACTGCTGGTTTTAACCAACACCCACCCAAGTATACATGTGTGCACACCCCCGCATACCTTAGGATAACATTGCCTTCTGTTTAGTTTGCTCTGAACCTTATTGTATACAACCTGTACCGAAACTCTGTCTCATTGTAAATCTTGACCTCACGACTCACCTGAAAGATGGGACCTACAATGTTATAGCTTCTCCCCCCGCACAACACCAGCGTTTCAGCACAAATTATTTACTTGTGTTTCTGGAGTGGGACTGAACCCATGACCTTTGGCTTCACAGACAGAGCATTATTCCCGAGCCAAATCTGACCAAGTCAGTGAATGTGACACTCAGTTATGTTAATGAATGCTGAAATACCTGATTTATTTTCTACATCTCATTTGTCAATCTTAGAACAAGTGAACCCTGCCGTTGTTATTTACGCTGTAGTTTTTTTTTGAATTTCTGTTTGAACATAATCATATTTTGTTGAATTTCTATCTGTATTTAAAGCCCTTTTTTTCAGTGTTTGCTCAAAATTCCTAATCTGTGCATGTAATCGAAAGTTAACCCAAAGTAACTTTTAAAAATAACCTCCTCTCATTCTCTCCATCTCATACTTCCAATCCCTCCCTCTCACTACTCCCCCTCTTGTTCATCTCCTCGTTCTGTCTTCACTACCTCATTTCTCTTGCTCCCACTCTTTTACTGTCAACTGTTTCTTCTATCTGCCACCTTGCCCCCATCTCTCCTTTCCACTGTTGCCTCATTCTCTTCTCTGCTTCATCCATCTTCTCCCATTCCTCTATCCATCTCATACTATCCCCTTCTGCTCTGTTTCTTTACCATTCATTTATCCCCTTTATTTCCCTCTTTCCTTTTATAGCCTTTCTCCCACACTCTCCTCCCTTCTCTTATCTCTTGTTGCCTCCCTCTTTATTTTTCCTGACTCCCTTCTCTCACTGTCTACTTCTGTGTCTCTCTCTCTTTATCTCTCTAACCTTCCCTGTTTGCCTCGCCTGTAGGAAAGCTGGCCTGATCCTATCCAAATTGGAGGAGCTCAGCAGCTGGTGCAGGAGTCTACTGCGAGAGCCCAAGATCATCCTGCGGCGAATCTCCTTGAAGTACCTCTCGTGTCAGTACAGTGAAATGAAGCGTTCAGGAATAAACTGGCAAGACCTGAGCACGGAGGTGAAGAAGATCTGTGAGGAACAGTTCCTGACGGTGCTGTACAATGACTATGGGGAGCATAAGGAGTTCTGACCGAGGAATGCCCTTTGTGCCTATTCCCCACACCTCACCACCCCAGCTCCCCCCCCACCCCCACCCCCATGCCACGTTCTTCGGCTGTTCTGTATGCCATCCGCACAGCCCTCCTGGGTGAAATGTTGCTCGGTTCCCTGCAGTTGTTTTGTGGAGATCATTGTTAACCCCAGGCTCACTTTTGGTCTGGCTGTAAAACTCTGAATCCGTTTGATGTGTCAGCCAAACATGGAGATTGTGTTTGATTTTTAACTTCTTTCACTGGAAGCTGGAAGGATTGGCAGGAAGAATGAGACAGCGATGATAATGTTTGTGTAACATGTATTCCCGTTGCTGAGGTTGTTCTGCCATTGTTGTAGGTGACAACATATATCAAATATCGTTTTCTGCTGCAGACACTTGACTTGTTGTAGATTAGCAGTGTTGTATTTAACACGCAGTGGTCCTTAGAATAAGGATCCTTTCTCAAAACCAAGACTGTCCGGTCAGCGATATGAAGTTGGGTTTTCAGTTGGCTTCAAGCATTGGTTGGTTCTGGATAAATTCTGATAAATTCTCCCCTGGTTTATACATTCTTGAGGATGGACTGTGTTACCAATATTTCATCTTTTAGAATGATGGAAGTTATGTGGTGTTGGGTTAATGAAGCATTGTGTTACCCATCTTAGAGAGGGCTTGTTATGGCATCCAGTATTCCATTGTAGAGGAAGTTTCTATAGCACATAGTTCCTGATCTATCAAGAGGTTTAAGTATGGCATCTGACGCTTTCCAATAGTAAGAGGTAATCTAGTTCTCCCCGACCTCTTTCATATTTGGTTTAGAATTAATGTTCCATACTTTAAGTAAATTGAAATACTTGATCTTTTGTTGTTCAACTTGTATTTTGGGAAATATTCAGGCAGCTTACTGAAAGCCAAACTCTTTGATCCAGTACTGGATGGGTGGTAATTCTAGTCGTCTTTCCCATCACCACCGTAGACCCACATGTATGCACACACACACACGTGCACATACACACAAGCGTGCGCGCACACACACACATACAAGCGTGCATGCACACATGCAGACCCCACTCTGTCTATATCCTGGACCACAAAGATAACCTTCAATTTCTTTTCACCCCTACAGCCAATCTTCAGAACGCTCTCCGTCCTCAACTGTAACAAGAAACGCGAGGAGCTTTGTCACTAAGATTCAGACAATCTGATCAGCTGCCTCACTTCCTCCAGTCCACTGGGCCAAATGTCCTCTTTAGCAACAACCCTTTCCCATCCCACTCACCTCTTCCCTGACCGAGCCTGAACTTGCCCTATTCCCACTGAACAGCCGATGACACAATTTCTCTTCATGCTCTCCCCTCCCCCAACTCTCGGAGCTGATACTGTCAACTGCTCAGTCTCCTCCCCACCTCCTTCAAATCTGCTGTTACCATGCCCCATCCCCATCTCCTTTCTTGACTCCTCTGTCCTTCCAAAATATTGCTCCATCTTCAATCTCCTTTTCCATTCCAAAGTCCTTGAACGTGTTAGCTCTGAAAACCTGGGCTAACCTTTTCCTCAGCGCCGTGTTTAAACCCCTTCAGTTAGGTTTCTCGGTACTCTCTTGTTTTCCAAAAGCCACAGATTACATCCTTCATGATGTGTGGCCATTGTAAACTCTTCCTCCCCAGTCTTTTTGAAGTTCCTGCAGCCTTTAACATAACTTGATCACACCACCTTCTTCCAACACTTGTCCTCCAGCCTGCAGCTTGGTGGGACAGCCTCCCGCTATTCTTAACCAATTTAGGCTCGAAGGTCATCTGCGATGGTTGTTTTTCTAATGCAGTTAGCTCTGGTGAATCCTGGGTTTCACTTATCTGCTATTTCAGACTGCATTTTGGAGACCTCATCTCGAAAAGTCACACTGCCGCACCGCGCTCTCAATTCCTTCATGTCTCTGAATTGTCGCAACGTTCGGAATGAGATAAGCAGAAATGTTCTCCAACTAATTGTTAGGAAAATCCAAGCCATGGGAGTCAACCTGAGCATCAGCTGAAATCCCCATCCGCAGCTTTGTTATTGATGATTCCAATATGCCCCCAACAAGTCTTCAATCTTTCAGTCTCCATGAAGCCATCTGAAACACAATCCCAGCTTTCCTGTCCCTCGCTTTCCTGTTCTCACCGACACACACACACACACACAGAGACAAGTGATCCACCAGCCTTCAAGATTTGAGTCCTTGTTTTCCAACTCTTCCATGGTCTTTACCCCACTCCACCCGGTTGTCTCTAGTCCAGCAATGCTCTGATATCGTCCATCCTGTTCTGTTGACTCCTACATTCCCAATTCTCATACTCCCTTCTTTGGCAACTGTGTCTTCACCTGACGAGGCCCTAAAATTTTCAGTTCTTAACTCCTTTCTCCCCTTTTAAGACGTTGCCTAAAACCTACCTTTACGACCTCACCTGTCCAAACACCACCTCGTGTGGCTCAGTGCCAAATGTTGGAGAGTACTCCCGTGTTGCACCAGGGGTTGAAAAAGGCACTATATGACAATGCACATTCTTTTTACATGATATGGTCCAGTTAATACTTGTGAATTTCTCAATCCCAATGGAAAGAACAGAATGCTGAGTGTCAAGAGGGCAGGGGAGCATGGGGTACAAAGAGCAGGAATAGGCCATTCAGCCCCTTGAGCTTTCCCCTCCATTTGATACGATCACGGCCGATTTCATCTCGGCTTCAAGTCTACTTCCCTGCCTGTTCTCCGCAATCCTTCAACCCCTTCAGGATCCCAAAGGCATCCAGCCAAACATGTGAAAAGGAAAGTTACTGCCCTTTAATCTGTTTAACTGTGTTTCTTCCTGTTGATTCACCACCTCTGAAGACACAGCAGTGAGTAAACTGGTCTATCTGGTTATATTATTACAAAGCCATCAGGGATTGGACTACTGAGGAGAAACAGATTTATTTTGTGTGTTGTAAATGAGATGTACTACAATTCTGTCATTCATAAAAATTGAGCAGGGCTATCATATCACTCGGTCACTTCTCCTGAAAGAGGGTGAATGTGGTGCTGACTGGGCCGTCTTGTGGAAATGGGGTCAGTAGAGCAGAGTTCCTATTACAGCGATGCCTTAACTTGTTCACGAGGCGGGTCGCTCGAGTCAGAAGACTTCCTGACTGGTCAGAACTTTCCCAGTAAAATTACCATGAAATGTCAGACCTTTCTGTCTGGGACATGTGAGACAGAGTGGGGCCACTGTAAGGAGCACAGGGTCAGTCGAAGGCCCGGCTCAGTTATCCGCAACTCCATGGCAATTGTTTCAGAAGTTGTTAAGCCATCTTATACTCATCCACTACATCTCCTCCACTGTACCCTCCCTGAAGCCCCCCTCCCCGTGCCAACACAGTGCCAACCCCCACCATGCCCTATCCATAGCCACTCACCCAGTATCCGCCATGGGCAGACCTCATGGGGATGAATAAAAGTTAAACTTCTAATAACCCAATATAGTTCACCCTCCTGCATGATGGTTAATAAAATTCATAGAATCCATTCACAGAGCCTTAAAAGCTCCTGAAGGGATTGGAAGAAATTATTCTTGTTAAAAACAAATTTCTATGTGGACTTCATATCAAAGACAGCTAATCCTTTAATATTTGAACTTTCAATCAGTCTATGAACTCAGGAAGCCCTGCTGAGACAATGGTAGCTTGTGAAATTCAATTGAAATAAATCCCCTTGGTATCCGGCATATAAGGGGAATGTGGGGCAGCAGGAGGTGAGGGGAGGCGGGGTTGTGGGTGGGTGCCTGTTACACGAATGTGCTAGTTGCAGGACCACTCAGAAACACCATCGATGAGGTTTGATCAAAAAGAGTGTGTTTTGTGTGTGTGTGTGTGTGTGTGTGTGTCTGTGTGTCTGTCTGTCTGTCTATCTGTCTACCTGTGTGACAGGAAGAGAGACAGGCAATTAAATTATCAATTCCCAGAGTGAGGAAACCTGCATCCATCGATTGTTCTGCGTGAGAATTCTGGATAACAGGATAATAGAGACGTCACCTGGTATGTGGTAATGTCAATCGAAAACTTCATCGAAATGGACGTGACCAGATGCCCTTATGTTTTTATTTTGTGACCTTCAGCAGACGGGCTGTCAATCGAAACAGTCCTGCAGGGATTATTTTAACTCTCACTGACAGCTGCAGCCTGTTTTATTTTTAAACTTTAAAGAGCAGAGGACCCTAAGGCCCTTGCAACAACTAAAATGCGATCTGTTTGGACCAAGGCAGAAAGGTCAAATGACCCTCTTAGTTTGGTTCCTGTTTGTGCACATCATGACCACCCCTTTCGGCGAAACTAGGCTTCATTAGAAATGAGGGTGCCACTGGGCACAATGATCTTAAAGAAGTGCAGAGTCTTCCAAACTCTGCAAAAATCCAGCACTTCGAGCAACCTCCGTTTTCAAATCTCGTGCTGAGTACCTCATTTGACACTGTTAGTTTGACACTATTATCCTCTCCAAAAGCTGCAGTAATCCAGCGGGTGATGTTCCACATCCTGCCCTTGTGTAATTGCAAACATATCCTAGCTGATTTCTCATATTGAAACAATTCTTCAAGCATTCTTCAGCATGCAGATTAGATTAGATTAGTGGATTCCTCACTCCCATTAAGTCTATTTACACATAGATAGGTGCATGATCTACAATTAAGTGTTTTAATATTTATTCAGAATAAGCTTTTTTATATAAGATTGCCAACTTTTAAGATTATTGAGGGGATGGTTACTCAAAGGTGTCACGTGATAGCATTGTACACTGCTCTGCGTTAAAACACGTTAACAGACTGCTAACAATTTATTAAGCATCAGAAAATAAACCAGTAAAAGCTGGTAGTCTGGCTGTTCCTATTAAAAGGCTGCATTCCTCAAACCAAAGCTAGCCACAGTACTGAAAATGTCAACATGCAGGATAGAGCAGGAGACCTTCCACTTGTGTAGAACTGTAATCTGTTGCACTTTGTTCATTAAATCACTTATGTTTCTGTAAAAGTCACTGGTAGCCACATTATAACCTTGCTCAGAGAGCCCAGTGATTTAATCAGCCTTTCCCCCTATTTACGTGTGAGCCACACTGAAACCTTCTCTGTCCAACTGTGCAGCAGCAACATTTTGTTGGAGCATTGTTGTTTTATAGGTGTGAAAGCCCAAGTAAGTGTTACTGCACTCTGTGTTTTATGGCAATGTTAACAGGATGTTGAGAATGTGACAATTTCCTTGCTGCTCTTAAACACTTCTTTGGAGAATACATAAGTAGTCACTTTGTTGCTGCCTCCGACATCACTGCCCCCATTTACAAAGTCAGCCTATGGTTAGGTTTGAAGTGATATTTGATGATGATTTCTGTACCTCTTTGTGTAAGCATGCCATTGTCCATTTTTCCTAGGTATTTTGGTGAATGCATATAGGCTTCCCATTTGTACACGCCATTGAGCTTGACTTGTTTTGTCTTCTTCTGATCCCTGTTCCTTTTTACCTAATCCCAGATTCTCCCTTCACAGCATCCTCCTAATTCCCTCCAGACCCACTGCTGCCATTGTCACCCCCTCTTCTCAGTTCTCCTGTACACCCTTCAATGGATTAGCCTGCTACTGGCAGCCACCTCTTGGCTTTGGCCTCCTTATGTGCGTGTGTGTCTTTGATTGATCCCTGGTTTCTGTTGGCTCTTGTCCACAAGTCTGTAACCACTTTCTTGATCAGTAGAACTACTGCTCTCTCCTTGGCTATTGTTGCTTAAGATCTGCATTACAGAGATCAGATGCTAATTTATGAGTAAAACCATTGCCCCCAATCAGGAAAGCTAAACAAGAGGCCAGTGATTGAGCTCCAGGGGTAAACCTTTGACCGCTCCTAAAGTCTTGATGTTTACAGCCCATGTGTCTTTTAACTTGAAGATTAATGTTGTGCGTTTAAAATTAATAAGGCATTCCCTGCCAAATAGCACTCTGAGAAGCAACATTGGCCAGCACCCTTTGACTATCTGTGTGTTTGGAGTCAAACAGAAGTTGCTGGCCAGGGAATATTGGTCTGCATGAGGCACCATTGTCTCTGTGTCACATTTTGAACTGTTTACTATAAGAATTCCGAGGAATTGTTTCTGTGACATTCCTGTTTAAAATAAGGAGGTCGATTCTTAAGCTCCATGCAGTTTTATCCTCATAAATTCTCCAGTTAAATATGGTGGAAATACAAGAGTGTTGCATGACCTCTGCTTGCGAACATAATATGCAGAGCCAAATAAAAACTTTTTACTGTCATGTGTTCAGTTAAAACAAATCCTGCTTTTAAGTAACAGCTAGTATTCAACAACACGACCCACTCGGACCTCTCAACTTTCTTGTGTAACCTTTGCATTGTTAAATAGTCAGATATTCTATTGACTGCTTTAGCCCACAGAACAAGCAGGTACAGAATGACATTTGCATACTGGACCTGTGACCCATGTTACACACGTGCTACTGTCTGATGGTTTCAGAGGCTTCTTCCTCTCTCCCACTTCCTAACGAAATCTGTTTTTGCATTTTCTCATCAGAAGAAAAAGATAGCAAGTTTAAAATAACTGAGTACACACAACAGGAAACCTCAATGTATTTAACCCTCAGACTCAAATCAACCAAGGGTTTTTTCCTAACACAGTGCTTTTGTTAAGGCAAAGCAATTCTGCAGTGAACATCTTATTTAGTTAATAAGGACTGTTATTGGTAAGAATGTTAACTATTTAAAGCTGATGTCAATGCACATACAGGCGCGCATCAATAAAGCAGTCGGAGGTCTCCTAGTCTTCAATCCTTGGGTATTATATTTACACTGCACTACAGCAAGCTGCAGAGTGAATGCTTTCATCGATCAGCTGAGCTGTGAGTATCTTCAATGTGTAACGGCTGTTTTAAACTTGTAAGCAAATGTGTATGAGATTTACACTCGGATAAAGAGTCATTTTAAAATGAAATGTAGTTGTTTGTTCTCTGAGTTTTGATAATGCAGGTATGCGGTGTAATATGTGCTGATGTTAAATGAGAGCTGTGATCTAGTGATGTGCACACATTTTGGTCATTGTTTCCTTGAATCCACTGGCTGATAAACATAAAATATTGATTCTGAGATTGCCTGGTTCCTGATTTATTGCATGTTGTTGCTAACTCTGTACGGCAACTTGCCTCAATGCTGCATTACCTCCAGCAGCAACTTCAACTGAGAGCTCAACGACACTCAGTATTGTGACACAGTGAACTTGGAACAATTAAGATGAAGAGACTTGAACGAGAAACTCGTGGTGAACTAAAGCTTGGGAATACTTGTTTGATTTTCCTTCTGTGCTGCTGTTTATGATGAGATTGCTCATGCTATTAAGTCCGTGCTACAAGAGCTGATAGCCTTTTGCTAGCAGGGAGCATGAATTCCTCGTACAAATGCTAATTGACACTAGGTGGCACTGTGGGACCTAGATTCAAATCTGGCTCACTGGAGGAGACGGATTCTTCACTTCCTTGGAAGAGTTGCATTTTGCAATGGGGAAGGTGGTCACTATTGATGTCCAGCTCTCACAAGAGAGACTGAAGCGATAATTACAATGTGATGTTACTGTAGAGGGGAGAAATGTTTATCCTGTTTCCCTCTCCATGGATGCTGCCAGACCTGCTGAGTTTCTCCAACAATTTCACTTCTTCATTCAGATTTCCAGCATCTGCAGTACTTTGCTTTGATACAAAAAGCAGGTTATCTACTCATTATCGCGTCGTTCTTAACAGGTGCTGAGCACAAATTAGCTGCTGAATGCCCTACACTTCAACAGCGACTCTGCTTCAAAAAGTGTTGAATTGGCTGTAAAATGTTTTGAGATCTCCAGCCATGAGTAGCATTAGATAAAAGTAAGTTTTTTCTTTTGAATTCTCCCAGGAGGTACTGCACAATGTGGGTGAAATCTCAGGACAGTTATTCCAGTGACGAGAGACAACATGGAAAGGTACTGTGACACTAAATTGTATAAATGTTCTTTCAGGTCAGCAGCCACATTGGAGAGTTCCACCAGCTGATCTTCAACATATCCATCGTGTTGGTGAGTGATATGTCCCTATGGCATTAAAGGAAACGTGGACAATGCCTCGCCCAGTGGGAATTGTGAGTTAAGTAAAATGTTCAGAGCAGTGTAATATGCGGGGGCATATAAGTGCAGAATATCATTGGCTTTGTCAAAAGTTAAAATTGCCAATAGAAGAGGAAGCCTTACTGGGCAATTAGCTCCTTAGAATTGTATCAGAGATAGTAGCAACTGCAGATGCTGGAGAATCTGAGATAATAAGGCGTAGAGCTGGATGAACACAGCAGGCCAAACAGCATCAGAGGAGCAGGAAGGCTGACGTTTCGGGCCTAGACCCTTCTTCAGAAATGGGGGAGGGGAAGGGGGTTCTGAAATAAATAGGGAGAGGGGGAGTGGATAGAAGATGGATAGAGGAGAAGATAGGTGGAGAGGAAACAGACAGGTCAAAGAGGCGGAGATGGAGCCAGAGGTGAGTGTAGGTGGGGAGTTAGGGAGGAGATGGGTCAGTCCAGGGAGGACGGACAGGTCAAGGGGGCGGGATGAGGTTAGTAGGTAGGAAATGGGGGTGCGGCCTGAGGTGGGAGGAAGGACAGGTTAGGGAGGCGGGGACAAGCTGGTCTGGTTTTGGGATGCGGTAGGGGGAGGGGAGATTTTAAAACTTGTGAAATACACATTGGGCTGCAGGGTTCCCAAGCGGAATGAGTTGCTGTTCCTGCAACCTTCGGGTGGCATCGTTGTGGCACTGCAGCCAAGCGGAATATGAGTTGCTGTGTTCATCCAGCTCTACACCTTATTAGCTCCTTAGAATGGCACTTTTCAGAATACCTGCCTTCAGCTAAAGGATTTATGTATGTGTGTCGGTGGGTGGGGAGTGGAAGAGAGGGAGTTGGTGGAAGTGCGTGAAGAATTCTTACATGGATTTTAGAACGACAACTTTCACATTGCACGCGGGCCTGGATTCTATTATAGTGAACTAGGAAGAGAGGCAAAAAACATCCTTGGAAATCCACCGTGATCAACAAAGACAAGCTTGAATTACTTTGAATGTCGTATCTACGTGGAATTGAGCCCCAGCTTTGAGGGTATACTATGAGGCTGTTCAGCAGGTTTGAAGGCAACGGTTCAAAACAGCCGGAAAGCAGTCTGGCACTGATGTGAAATTTGGTGAGTGACAAATCCATGTGGAGTAGTACTTGTACTCTTTCAAGACACATCGGAGACACAGACAGAAGATGCTACCACAGTGCATCAGGTTCGTTCTTAATGCAAACTGCATGTGAGTGTGGAAGCGATCACATTTTCCTCTTGGATATCTGAGAGTCTGTAAAGTATACCAAATCCAAAATAACTTGCAAGTGCTTTTTTTTAATAGCTCTGTCTTGTGTTTGTTGACCAGGGCAGTATCAAAGGACAAAGGAACTCTCAAAATTGAGACAGTGCTAATTGAGGCCTGTCCTCTCAGTTGGTTGGGAGAGATGTCCCAGCACCGTTACTGAGAAAGTAAGTATTCTTCATAACATAACCAATATGTATCTCTCAGTCAAAAGTGCTGTGACCAATGACCGTGACAATAGTGCTGTGACAGTGACAGGTTGAAGGGTCCACTTTGAGGGACCCTTCTACCTGTGAATTGTCTGTTTCAATCGTGCCTACATTTCAAAAGTACATCATTGTATGCGAAATAATTTTGGGGGTTTGTTGTGAATCGGCTGTATTGTCCCCTCAGGGAGTCTTGACAATGCAGTCACCACCATTGTATTGCAGGGGTTTAAGCAGCTCTGAACCATATCTGAAATAAAACAGTGGGTTAACATTTCAGATAGCATGAGGGGGAGAGAGCATAACCCCTGAATGGACCTTTCACATGTCGTAATCAAAGATCTGCACGTACCCCCGTTTAGATCACTACTATAACCATTGTTCTTTTCCAGGTCTGGCTCAATATTTGGATTGTCGGCATTTTTCTGTCTTCATTGCATTTTTTCTGGCATGTGCAATTTGTTTTCTATTACGCTGCATTTCAGTTCATGTTCAAAAGCAAAGTGGATCTAGTGGAAACAGAACAGATTCTTTCCATATTCTATCGTTTACTTGTTCCCTGTTCCCCTCCGACCCGAAACTTCCAGCCTGCCTTCAGCACGTGTACTACCTTTTCCTAGTTACTGAGACTTCTGACAAAGGGTCACTGGACCTGCAAAATTTCTCTGCAAATGCTGCCAGCCCTGCTGAGTTTCTCCAGCAATTTTGGTTTTTCTTTCCAACTTCCAGCAGCTGCGGTTTTAGATTAATTCCCAAGTTTGATTGTGGAAGCACAGAAAAATATAGAACAATTGTACTTGATGTTAGTGGGAGAGTACCAGATTTGCTTACTTTGGTGTGATTGTCGTAGCTGGTTACTACATAGGATTACATAAAAGACAGATTATTCAGCCCAGGCAGTCCACATTGGTGTTCATGAGTGTTATCTTCTCTTTCCTCATCATAATTTTGTCTGCCCTTCTCCATTGTGTACTTATTTGGCTTGAATGCAAACATCAATAACTGAGCATAACGTACCCAATTTTCAATCCTGTCCTGCAAGCAATAAAGCCTATTTTTAATAGTTTTGCTTACATTTTTAGTCATTCATGGGATGCAGACACTGCTGGTTAGGCCAACACTTATTAAGCATCCTTGATTGCCCTGGAGAAGTGGGTGGGGAGTTGCCTCCATAAACCAGTGCATCCCATGTTGGTAGGTATCCTCACCATGTTCTTAGGAAGGGATTTCCAGGAACGCCAGCAACAGTGAGGGAACCATGATTGTAGTTCCATGTCAGGATGGTGGGTGGCTTGGATGGGAATTTGCAGATGGTGGTGATGCTGTGGTCGAGGTCAGGTTATTTGGAAGGTGCCGTCACTGTCTAGGTGAGCTATCGCAGTGCATCTTGCAAATAGTACATATTGCTGCACACATTTCATCAGTGAGAGGGGGAATAAATGTTAAAGGTGATGGATGGGGTGCCAACTAAGTGTCCTGGGATGGCATCAAGCTTTTTGAATGTCGTTGGAGCTACACTCACCTGGGCAAGTGGGGAATATTCCAACACACTGCTGAATAATGCCTTGTAGGTGGTGGATAAGCTTTAGGGGAAACAGGAGGGGAGTTACTTGCCACAGAATTCCTAGCCTCTGACGTGCTGTTGTAGTCACAGGACTCAAATGGCTAGTCCATTTCAGTTTCTGGTCAATGGCAACCCCCAAGATGATGACAGTGGGTTTTCAGTTCTCTTAATGCCATTGAATGTAAAGAGGAGATGGTTAGATTCTCCTTGTTGGAGATAGTCATTGCCTGGCACTTGTGTGGTGTGAATGTTACTTGCTATTGGATGTTGTCCAGGTTTTGCAACATACAGACGTTGACAGAACCTCAGTGGTGCACATTTTAGTGATTGATATTTGTACGTTGAGATCCCTCTGTTCCTCTACTTTAGCTAGATTTTCCCCTTCTAAGTAATAAGTGACCTCCTTCGAGTTCCCATCAATGCACAGCATTTCACACTTACCTGTGTTGAACTTAAGTTGCCAACTATTTGGCCATTGGACATGTATTCATTCAGCGTGACAACAGACCCTTTGGTCCAACCACAACACACTGACCATATTCCCAAGCTAAACTAGTCCCATTTGTCTGCGCTTGGCCCATATTCTTCCAATATCTAAATATTTTTGAAATGAAACTATCTACATCTGACACTTCTTCTGGCAGTTCTTTTCCAAACACGAACCACTTTCTGTGTAAAGAATTTGCCCCTCATGTTTTAAAACTTTCTCCTTTCACCTTAAAAATATGCCCCCTAGTTTGGAACTCCCCCACCCGAAGGGGAAGACCCTTGTTATTCACCTTATCTTTACCCCTCATGATTTTATAAATCTCTAAAAGGTCACCGCTCAACTTCCTCCACTCCAATGAAAAAGATCCCAGCCTTTCCAGTCTCCTTTTCTATCGCAAACCCTCTCTTCCTGGCAACATCCTGGTAATATTTTTCTGAGACCTCTGCAGCTTAATAACATCCTTCCTGTAA